GTTATATCAAGCAACTCATTTTTCTCTTAAAGATTCCGTCGCTCTGCGATCACTTACTGTGTCAACTCTCGGAAGCTAAACGACTTAGCTGAGAGATACAGTTAAACCCTTTTTCAAAATGTGCTTCTCAAACAGGATTATCAGAATGTTCTGTATCAGCTCTAAAGGGCACAATATACATTAAATATAGTAACCGGGATAGCGTAGTCGGAATAGCGACCGAGGACTCGGAGTTCGAGTCCCGGTAGGGTCAAGAATTTTCTCTTCTCCATGTCGTCCAGACCGGCTATGGGGTCCACCCAACCTCATATCCAATGGGTACAGGGGGCTCTTTCCCCGGGGGAAAAGCGGCCGGGGTGTGAAGCTGACCACTCACTCCAACTAGTACCCAGGTCAAGAAAATGTGGATCTATACACGTACTCCCCCATATGCATTCATGGTGTAGCACTTAATTAGTTAAGCACAAGGAAAACTTTTACAACTCGACTGTTCGAACGTGGTCAGTAGCTTCAGCTGTTCGAACGCGATACTGTTTCAAAGACTATAAATGTTACTGTATAAACATATCCATTCCTACTGCGTGTCGTCTTCTGCGTTCTGCCACACACCCTGGATGCCACAGTATGAATTTTCAGCGCCGTGAAATTCACGTCCATTCCTGTTTACTGTTTTACTACCATGTACTTTATCAGTACAGTTACGGGCTTTCACGATTACCAAAATTAATTTTTAATCTGAAGTTCTCCGTTCAAATTGACTAGATATAATCGTAATATGAGTATCGTATTTCATTAATGCTGGAATATCCTTAAAACCAGGACCGCCTCTGTGGTGTAGTGGTCAGAGTTCCTGGCTAGAGATCCAGAGGTCCCGGGTTCGAGTCTGGAACGGTGTCCACTCAGCCTTGTGAGGATAACTGAGGAGCTATTTCAAGGAAATCGAAATTAACGGTCGTGGGGATCCGTTGAGCTGACCACGTGACACTCTCTATCCGCTAAAGTTGACACTAACTTCGACGACAAGCGGCGGTCGTTCGGTCGGTATAGTTCGCTTGCGGACTCCAGGCCACGGAGTTTGTTTAGTTTTGTTATGTCCTTAAAACCAGAGACTTGTCTCCGTCTCCTATTCGAATAAACGACTCTCCGGTCAATTAATATTCAGTTACGAATAAATACAAAATCCTAACTAGTTCTACTGTTAAGGGTTCAACTACTGTTCCATTATTCGATTAATCCAGGAACCTAACTCAGTCCTCAATTCGAATAAACTACGCTCCAATTAATTAATGTTCAGCCAGGATATATCCACATTCCTAAATAGTAGTTTTGTCGTCGAAAATCCCAAAATTGTTCGATTATCTGAATAAATCCATCGGCTTAATCCCGTCTTAAGTTTGAATAAATGACGCTCCAGTATATTAATACTCAGTTGTCGAAATAGTTCATAGTCCTAACTAGTTCCATCGTCAGATACTCGTATTTCATTCTTTTATGATTATCTGAATAAATCGAAGGATCTGACTACATCGACAGTTCAAATAAATTAAACTCCAGCTAATTAATATTCGGCCACAAAAATAATCCGCAGCCCTAACTAGTTCTTTGGCCAGAAATTCCATTATTTTCTGATTATTCGAATAAACCCATAGATCCACCTCAGTCTCCTGCAGGTCTGAACAAACAGCAGAAATACCATAATTGTTTACTTATCCTAGTGAAACTCATTTTTAACTAGGTCCATCCCTAAGTTTCGAATAAACGAAAATTCATTTCATTGAGTATTTCATTTTGCCGATCACAGTGGCCGCGCGGCGTAAGACATGAACTGTCTTCGCCCGTTCAAACACTGGAATCGTGGGTTCGAATCCCACTCATGGCATGGATGTCTGTGTGCGTTTATTCTGTATTTGTGCTGTTCTGTGTGTAGGTAGAGGCCCTCCGACGGCCTCGTCCCCTGTCTAAGGAATCCTATGGACTGTGTAAACGATCAAGAAACTAAAAACAGGCCCAGGCGCAATAAAGGGCTGTAGAGCTATAGCTAGATAGTATTTCATTCTGTTATTAATCGTTTATCCGCTGTAGGCCTCTCCTTTTACTTGTGCATGTAGCCGCTTCTTCCACAGTCCTCAAGACAGCCAACACATTCATCGTCAGCGTATCTTTATTAGCCGTCATTTGTCTTGCAGCAACCAGCAGTACATGGGTCGCACGAAACAAATGTAAAACCTGTCGGCTTAACTCCGAGCTGTGGCATCCAGTCAGTGGTTTCCGAGCACTAACTCTTCAGCTAGCCAATAACCTCTGTGCACGACCATAGTCCCTCCTGCATGCCAAGCCAGCGTTATGTATACTCAACATTTGAATGAAGACAGGAGTAAAAAAAAATATATGACCAGACTATCTTTATATTTTCATATGAGGGAAATCAGTTTCGAGGGACACTGCACATACATTGTATCTCTTTTTATATGTCAGCGTCTGTATGTCACCCGTTGTTTCTGATTAAAATGCACACGTGACTATAAAGATTATTGTCCTGTGCTGTTGTATAAGACAGCAAGTCTTCGTCCTGGATATTAAAACGCATAGGCCTGTAAATTAGGCAGCTTATTTAAACCAAGTTACTAACATGTATTCGGTTCACTTCCATACCTTAATGGCTAGAATTATAAAATATGATATTAACAAGTGTGAAACAGAACGGAACTTCACTATCCTGTCTGTGAGGCAAGTTTCTTCGAAATGTTAACGATTAAATACTGTTTTATTACATACTGCAAATTCTCTGGACTGTTAATCAGTTCAGTATAAATCAAGGCTGGGAGAATCTTTTATTTTCAGCTTCAAATGGAGGAGGGTAAGATGAACAGCGCATGTAGCAGTCACAGGACAGAATATATAGAGAATTTTACTTGGAAAACCTGATGGACGGAAAAGATTTGGGAGAGCAAGGTAAAGGTAAATTGTAAAGCTGTCCCTGTGCTTAACTAATTAAGCACTATGCTATGATGGCGAATGGGGGAGCGGCCTATAAATCCACATTTTCTTGCATTCGGTACTAGCTGGAGGTGAGCCCTCAGGTTCACGCCTCGTTCGCTTTACCTCCAGCATCCATTGGATAGGGGCCTGGATGGGCCTCACAACCTGTCTGGACGACGTGGAGAGAAGAAAATCTTTTAACCTACTGGGACTCGAACTCGGACCCCTCGGTCGTCCAGCCCGTAGCCAGTGGCTATGCCGACTGCGGTATCCCGGCTCATTTTGGGAGACCAAGGAGTAGGTTAACAGTGCAATATTAAAATGTATCTTAAGGACATAGGATATGAGGGTGCAGACTACATATTGGCTTGTGCAGGGTAAGGAGTGGGATAGCGGCTGGCTACGAGCAAGACGGCCAAGAGTCGGAGTTTGAGTACCGGTAGTGGCAAAATTTTCCTCCTCTCCACGTCGTCCAGACCGGTTCTGGGGCCCTTCCGGTCTCCTATCCAATGTGTACCGGGGCTTTTCCCCGGGGTTAAAAAGGCCGGATCGTTAAGCTGACACCTTCAACTACATCCGAGGTAAAGATTCGTGGATCTCTACATCTACTCACCCATAAGTCTTCAAATGTTTCACAGCTGAAATGCCTTTAGCACCGACATACTCGTACAGTAAAATCTCTATCTGTACTTGAACTGGCATCGGCGAAGTGATATGCAGAGCACTGTTTATTATATTGATTCCCTATGTGAATATTTAGGTGGAAGGGCTTAAAAAATCACGAAAAATGCTATGACT